CCAAGTGTATCCATAACTCAATAGTGTACACTGTGGTGTTTACCATTTGTTTTATAACATAACATTGATACATTGTAGCTAGAGTTCCCTTTATTTAACAAATCTTACATGACCAGAAAAAACAAGCGCGTGCGGAAAAATAGTCTTTGCATTTGCTCACATCAGCAGCGTACACCCACGGGCAAATGGGGGACGTTAAATTGACCAATCAGAGCACACGCTTTACTTTGGTTATGTTATAATTTCATTTAAAAATCAGTATACAGTTCCTTCAGTTCATTTTAACATACATTGTACAAGGCAGATGGATCAGAGATCCGGACTTATTTTTTTTTAAGAAAAAAAAGGACTATTTATTGTTTCATGAATCTTGATTGTAGTATGAACTTAACGCATTTGTTTAATACAGTTGAACCTTGATTATCCAGACTCATTGGGACGAAATAGTCTGGATAATTGAGGGTCTGGATAATCCAGAATATGAATATTAATGACAAACAAATTGAGACTTTTATTATTTGGAGCTGCATAATCTGAATAGCGTTATCATATTTGTCCTGTCTTTCCATCTGTAATAAACACTTTTTAAAATGTTTAACAGCTTCTGAGTTAGAAACAGTTTCTCATCTTGGCCTTTGTCTTCCTCATAGCCACTACTTTTGAGCAAACAGAGGGTAAAATTTCATACAGCAACAGGCAACTCTTAATTGGCCAATCAGACCTCATCCAAATGTTCTTCATTAGTTACAACATGTGCGAGGGCTGCTTAAATTTGCTTTTTGAAAGAGAAATAAACTCTTCTTTACTTCACTTTTAAATGCTGTAGTTTTAAAAAGAATATATGGTTCATAATGAATCTTGATCATGACTAATAAATATTCTTGACAAAATTGGGACCAGAGAAAAAGTCTAGATAATCAAGAAATCCAGACAATTGAGGTTTGACTGTGCACACCAAAGCAAAACTTACATCTTTGTGTTCATTTTACCTGCGTGTTTCAGTACTAACAGTGAGTATAATTACCATAATGAAAAGATAGCTGTTGACATTTAAATTCATGTACGGTATTTCTTTTTCTCCACTCATGACCAGGTTCTTCCAAATCTGGAAGACTGCTGGCCCTCTTGTTCAACACACACATCAGATTTCATTGACCACAAGACTGGAATCACTCATTTGACTCAGGTATGTAATTCTAATTGCGTCATCATCAGATAATACTGTATAGTTTGTACTGTAGATAGGGGAATGCTGTCACAATTATCTTTGATGGATCATGTGCTAAGTTTTTCTGTCTTTTGGTTACAAGTATAGTCTCAATTTGTTTCTTTTTATTTCTTGGCAGGGAAGGGCGGCAGATGCAAAACTTAATCAAGCACGTCACAATACTCTTGCTTTTGTTTTATCATGTGATGTGCAGCGTCATGCGGGTGACAGACAGGCATCAAGTAAGTCCCATAAGTAGTCAATTTTACTCCCAATGGTCATAGAACTCAATGTTATTTCACTATATATACTTTAATGAACATCCACTGATAATTATCATTTGGTGATAGACACTCAGTTGTCTGTGGTACTTGTCTCTGTTTACACTCGGTTGTCTGTGGTACTTGTCTCTGTTAATTAGAATAATCTGTATAATTTGACTTCTCTATCGTTTGACACTCTAGTGACAGGGAGTGGTTACTTACACCCACCAAAAGACCATCCATATCTGAGCCCCCAGAGGGAACTAAAGAGTCGATATCAATACTTGGACAGTGATGGAGCCCTTCTTAGAGCACCAGAGTGGCCTTCACCATCAGAGACAAAGGTTTAATTTAATTTCATATAAATGTTAACTGTCATGCCTGTACTCTTATGATCAAGTTCCAGAGGTGATGTCCAAAAGTCTGATTTGTTTTCATTGTGCTTTGTTTAGGAGGAATTTATTCCCTTTGAAGAGCTGGTTACGGGCAGTGGAGCAGCCAAACTAATGCAGAACAAAGTTGATTGCCAGGAGAGAATTACAGATAACAGGAAAACACATTTTCAGTTTGGGTCAGATGATGACCCTAAACACACAGAGCAGGTATTTAAATCCTAAAACCCATGAAAACACTATTAAGCGTTAATGTCTGAAAGATTACTGTTGAGTGTTTTGGGTCCCAAATTTTTTGCTGTGCACATCTTATCTGATGTAAAGGGCAGTATATTTTATCACAAAATCTAGTAAGTAGTTTAATATGAATGAATGTTAAACCTTGCTTTTTCCTATATAGCACGACCAGTTTGTATCATCTCTGCACCTTGATCCAGCCCTTCCAGCTGAGAAAAAGGCCCGAACACAAATACTCCTATGCCCACCCAAGGTGAGAAAACACTTTGCATTCTTTGCATGCCTAATGGAGTCTACGTATTAAGTCTGCAATATTTTTATTTGTTTTTCTTTTCAGTGAAATAACAGAGCAGGGAAGATTTGGAGTGTCAGAGCCTCTCCTTCAGGACAAGGTAGCCATCATCCAACATCAAATGCAGCAGTTAAATCAACAGAGGTAAGACAGACATTTGTTCTGAATTTTTCCACTATGTTTTGTGAAGGCGCCAAAGCCAAAACAAATCACTTCGCTAAATGATATGCATGTGTCTATGGCTATCACTTGAATCAATCAATCAATCAATCAATCCTTTATTTAAACACGTGACACCTAGGAGCACAGAAGTTCTCGTTAAAACGTGTACGTGTATGTACAGTTAGAAAGAAAACATAATATCTTAAATTTAACTCTGTGGCTCATTGCGTTTATATTATTAAAGATTCTATAACTCAGGAGACGCAATGAATATTAACTTGCTGAAAGCCTTCCTGGATTTCGACTCAAGCTTCTGAGTATGATAAAAGTACCTTTTGATTTTTTTTTTTTTTGTTGTTATCTAAAGCTCTACTAGTTATATGTAGTAATTGTTTCAAATTCCTTCTAAGTATAAGTCTTTTACCTTCAGTGTGTCCTTTTTTTCCCCTTAGGAGTGGTAGAATTTCTACTGACGACCTGAAATCTGTTTTGGCAAAACTTGGATTGGACATGGAGGAGAAAACCTTAGAAAAACTTCTTGATATGTAAGTGGAAAGTAATTGTTTGTCCTGGCATCCCTCTATTCTCAGCTCTCAATCGGTGGTTTGCAACCAATCTCTAGAGACACAGGTAACAATGGTGAAAGGAACAAATGCTGGTGGACGAACAATAGAAGCTAATGAGATATCTATTGTTTACGCCTACCAACATGGCGGCAATGGGGTGTGGACAATACGTGGGGTAGGCCATGGTGTAGGCCATAGCCTACCCTGTGGCCTACCCTATGACCTACCGGTAGTCAGACTTTTAAAAACATAAAAATAAAATCAGTAAGAGTCGAATGAATACGCTGGCGTACAATTCTGTGCCTCTAAAAAGGGTATACTAAGAGGTCGCTAACACGATTTTCAACGTCCCAGAGAACGAAACAATGCAAATATTACAGCACTCATCCAAGCACTCAGCCATAACGGTAGGCTAAGGGGGAGGGGAGAGGAGGGGTCAATAATGCGTGGTCGCAGAGGATATGCAAAATGGCGGCTTCACGATATAGGTTGCCAGCTGGTAACATATATTGGAGTGCTAGTGTAAACATGTAATGAACGGCGTTACATCGGACAACATATCCAGGTAAAAAAACGCAAACATTACGTGCCAGGCCAATTTTTTAAGTACCTCTTAAGTGCGGTAGAGTATTGAATTTGCAACAAGCGCCCCGGTACACGCACGCATCGCCATCATAAACATTTCACAAACTTTACTTGCTTTTCCAAAGAAAGGGCCAGTATTGCACTAGTTTGAAAGGAGAGCTGATTTGACGATGTTTGCCCAAAAGTTGCGTTTAACCGGCTTTTGTTCCTCGATTTCCTTGTTCTATCAGAAGGTTAAGAAATTTTGATCGGAATTTGGCCGCCAAAACAGCAGAAGAAAGTCGTTGGTAAGAAAGTCCTCAGGAAACCGTTGAAAGGTTTTCAGCAATGCTATGCTTTTAAAAATCTGACCACCGGTAGGCCATAGGGTAGGCCATAGGGTAGGCCGTGGCCTACCCCATGGCCTACCCCATGGCCTACCCCATGGCCATGGCCTACGCAACGTTTTGTCCACACCCCGGCGGTGACGTAACGTGCAAACCACCTATTCATCTTGTCCAGCGTGAGGAATTAAAATTTACGACAAACCTAATCAGGACAATCACGGTTCATATTCCAGGTGCGACAGAAGTACTGGTCTCGTGGACTACCAAAAATTTGTGAAATATATGACGAAAGTTTCCCTCATTAGTTCTGGAAATAAACCATCAACGACTTCAGTAATGAGGGTGGATTTCTGTCCACCAGAACAAAGAAGGTAAATAAATTAGTTACAGTGAGCTGCTTTTCAGGATTCATGATTTCGCTTTTGTTACAGCGTACATATCTCTCCACAGACTAACCTCTGCTCAGCTGCGCACGATAGAAATGTCCAAAAAGATTTCGCCAGTGACAGTGAACTCGCATTACTTTCACAAGTATAACTCGGGAGGTATGCCGGCGGCATGATAGTTAACAATTATTCCACAAGCGCGCGTTGGATATGAGATGATAGATAGCCAACGAGGCGCTACGCGCCTCGTTGGCTATAATCATCTCATATCCAGCAAGCGTGAGTGGAATAATTGTTTTATTAAAAACGTTAAATTAACTTATTAAATTTTATTAACTTTTTAGCTCTCTTTTAATTTTAATCTGACACGTACGCTTACCATATTTGTAGATTATGGTATATTGGCTGATATACCATAATGGCTAAGCCAATAAAAAGTCTTGAATTGCATTATCCAATGATCTAGGTTTTAATAATATGCATTATAGTGTCAACCCTTGTATACTCGGCATAGTTCAAACTCTCTTCTCTATTTCTCTCGCTAGCACCTCGTCTCTCAACCACGGCTCAGGATTTCGTCCAACCAGACAGAATAACAGGTAGATGAATTTTTATCGTTGCATGATCAGAAAATTAGCAGTGTTTTGTACCTTGTAGTACACAGCGGTTAGAATGAAATCGGTTTTATTCACGTACCTAAGAGAACTAACTAAATAATTAAACACACGCTGTATATATATGCAGGTCTCGAGGGTATTACTTCACATCACCACGCATCACATTACATCGCGCATATTACATGCTCGTTGGCATCCTATACACTACATTCNAACCCACCCATCCCACCCCAGGGGAGGACATCCATCACACAGTAATCTCGTGTGTGGGAAATTAACGTCTCCTACCCCAACCCTGTAGGAGACGGGACCTCCATTTATTTGTCCCTATCGGAGAAAACTAGAATATCTAACCATTTCTTGATGTTATAGAAAGGTAGCAAATTCTTCTCAATTATTTTAAAACCTTGAGTGTTATTCCGGCCGGGGCTCGAACCCTCGACCTCCCGCACAACAGTCCAGCGCTCTATCCATTGAGCTAACGGGGAGGCGGTTTGAGTTGTCTATCAACTTCTTCTTGGGATCTCGCAACCCGCAACAAATCACCCAAAGTAACAGTCACTTCCTTTTCCAGGAACTTCCGGCGCAAGTGGCTGGAGTAACAATTGTCTATGAGTTGATCCCGAATGTAGTCGTCCTCGTAGTCGCCAAATGTAGTCGCCAAACTCACAAGTCGCTGCTCGCTGACGCAATCTGCACACAAACACAAACTGGTCCACAGTTTCTCCGCTCTCCTGCGAAATTTGTCTAAACAAATGTCTCTCAAAAGGAACGTTTGACTTGGGAACAAAATAATTGTCAAGTGCCTGAAGTGTTGCCTGAAAACTCACATCCTCGCCATCACCGGCTAATGTGAAATAAATTTCTTGAACGTCCATACCAGCAACGTGCAACAGAAAAGCTCGCTTTTTAGCGCCGTTCGAAACACTTTTTCCCGTCACGTACAAATCAAACGCTCGCTTCCATCTCTTCCACCGCTGACTTAAATTGTGTGCCTCTCCCTTCGGATTAAATGGTTTCAATCCACTGACATCTAAAGCAACTGAAGCCATTCCAGAACCATTAACAGAATTGCCAACAGCACCGCTTGTCGTTTCGTCTGATCCATCGTGTCCCGGCATCTCTGAAATAGATCCCTAGCGAAATCACTTACGAATTCCCGGACGAAATTCCTGAAACCTTCGACTAATCCTCGAAATCCTCGAAATCCTCGAAGTCCTCAAAATCTTCAAAATTCTCAAAATCCTCGTCGCCAATGTAGTACACAGCGGTTAAAATGAAATCGGTTTTATTCACGTACCTAAGAGAACTAACTAAGTAATTAAACACACGCTGTATATATATGTAGGTCTCGAGGGTATTACTTCACACCATCACGCATCACGTTACATCGCGCATATTACATGCTCGTTGGCATCCTATACACTACACCGGTTCTGTATGTTTATTTCATAAATTTATTACTTCGCTTGCAGCGCCCGTGAGCAACATTAAGTGAATCCTGTGTTCTGATTAGCTACCCAAGCGGGCAAGAATGGGCCTATCTTGCCCGCTCGGGATTGCCCGCATTGATCCCGCGCATGAAAAAATAGAATTAGTACCACGTTCGCAATTCTTGGACTATTTCGGTGATGGAAACGCAGCAGAAGATAGTCAAAACAAAGAAAACAGAAACAACTCTCGTGAGTTTGTTGTGCTGCAAACACAGTTCGCTTTCCTTCGCGGCACCCGAAGTAAATAAGTCACTTTTTAAAAAAACCAAATCTTTGTGCAATGTAGTAAATACTTTATTAACCAAGCGTGAGGTCAAGATAGCTGGATATTAGCCTCGTTCTCTTTTCGCATTTTAATGGACCTCGACTTCGTTTCCGTCAATAAAAATGCAAAAAAAAGAACTCTGCCAATATCCAGCCATCTTAACCTCACGCTTGGTTAATAACGCATATGTATGTCATATGCCGAGTATGAAGGAAGTTGTCTTTTGTTAACCACTTACTTTTTCGCTCCAGGAAATTCTCGTCTATCTGTGTGATAACATGGAGAAACAAGTCGCTGATCTAGTTGCAGCCAAATTTCCTCAGGAATGGTAGAGTTTCTCAGGCTGTTTAGTGTCGTTGAGTATTAAGTGCGGAAGGTACATGACTTGGGATTGTATTGCAACACGTGTCTTACCGATCACGTGACCTTCCCGAGGTGCCTCGTAGGAACCCGCCTCCTCCTTTTTTAAATGCATTACAATGTTTGTAAAAGCGTAGAATTAAAGGAAGTTGGTGTACATAATAAACCAAATTGTTCGGATGAGACCTTAATCTGGAGGAAACTTAAATCGTCTTACTCTATGTAGTTGTGGACTACGGCCGACTCTAGTTATAGGTATAATTATCTTGATCCAGATTGTTCGTGTCTGGAATGTCTGAATTATGCTTCGAGACTAGAACCTAAACACTCCAGTTTGCTTTTTTAACTATTATTTTTCTATGGTTTGTTAGCCTGGAAGTCTGAACGATTGTTTTACACACAAGTTCAGTTTCTTCGAAACAAAATTTCCAAGGAGTCAACGAACTACCCATAACTGAAATATCAATTAATACCCTAGTGATAGATTTTGCCAACTTTCTATAAAAAAAGATACATTTTAAAAAGAAATTCAGTGAAATGTAACTCTCAGAGTCTAAAGTCTTGCCTGCGACCTATATTCAAAAAACCTATTAATTTTATGCACCCAATCTCTGCATAAGAAGTGACGAAAAATTATCCGCAAACGGCTCTTCGTAAAAAGTCAGAGTTGCCACCCAGGATACCTAAGATAAGAAAAGCGTCATCCTGAATTAAACTGTAGTCTCTTCAGAAGCCTTAATTTGCGTACTATTGACTACAGTTCCACTTTCTCCTGTGCCATTTTTGTTCTCATTTTCGTCAGCTTCACAGTGATCCTTTAGCAACACGGTTTCTTCTTTTGTTGGTGCCTCTTCTGAAGTCTTCATATTGCACCAGGAAAAAATGTCACTCCATTTAAACTGCCCCCAGTCCCCTTGTGGTCCTATCGTGCAGCAAAGAGCTTGAAAGAAGAAAGTCGAAAAGGCCCATCCCAGAGTCATCACTAGCATTAGGAAATGTCCCATCTGTAGATAGGATAGAACTCTGGATGGCAGCATCATTGCACCTAAACACATAAGATAGAACGTTCTCAGTAATGGTTATACTATTAGCAATAATTCTTAGTATAATGTATGCACGGTTTGTACTTAAGAGTGGCAGTCGGTCATAATTTATGATCTGGTCGCTCGCGTGAGAGTCTCCTTGGAAAGGCTCTCATCCACTGATACTGCCGTTTCAACAATCTGAGCAAATGTCATAACTGCGAAGTGAGGATTCTTTAGGTGTTTAATCAACACCCTAAATTTAAACTGACCTGCGATAAAAGTTGTAACAGCAGCCATGGTGATTGCAGATCCCATCCGGGACAGCGAAAACTGCACACGTGCCTTCCTACATTCCTTATTTGGTGCCAGGCAGTAAGCTACCCCAAAATGCATTGCAAAATCAATGGATACACCAACAGCAACAGACATAGTTATGGACTCCAGGATGTTAAGTTTCCACCCGCTGAGGACCAAGGAGCCAATAGTGACAGAGATTATGCCAATTATCGTAAGGATGGCGTATACGCTTACTAGAATGTTTAGCGTGGTCAATAACATCACGCCAAACGCCATGGCGATGGCAATTGCCATAGAAACTAAAGTCCCGGTAGAAAGGCTCCTCTGCAGGTCGTAAAACTCCATGCCGCTTATCCACCAGCCTCCGCGCATGCCTTCTGGTGCATTTCGTATTTCCTTCATTACCCACGATTCAGTGCGCTCCCAAAATTGGTGCGCGGGCTCATATGCACGAGAAATTCTCACATTACTCATAACACGCAAGTGAATGCCTCTAAGATTGCCGCGCTCGTCGTAGATGAGGTTTCCAATTGTGGAATCTTGTCTCTTATACTTAAATATCCGAGCGCGGACATCTGCTATCGTGGCGCAAAGGTTCAGAACGGTTTTATTAAATGGAAATGGCGAACCTTTGCAGCAAGGGTAATAGGAGATTCCTGGTGTCAGCGAATCTGTACAGCTTTGATTGTAAAACGTTTCCAGGAAACAGTAGCTTGTTACACCACCTTTCTTTCCATAGAAGTCTTGGTTGCGCAGCTTTCTACAGAAACTCATCAGCCACGCTTGAGATTCACTACTAGTTATGTCGAAAGATTCATCCCACTCAATTGTACCATAGTCGTTGGGATTCATGTAGTCTCCGTTGTCGACCGCTTTAATTCCCCAGAAAAAGTCGATGGGAAAAGTTGCACTACCTTGCGAAGAACTTGTCTCGAAGCGGAATCTGTCTTTGAAATGGAGTTCGTAGGCCTCAAGGGGATGTGATGATTCAAACATCTGAAAATCGGATGATGTGGGCAGATGGAATCCAGGCTTGAAAAGAAGAACTTCCAACCCACCCAATGAAAGAACTAAAAACAAAAAAATCCAGAAAATGCGGAATTTTATGACCACTCTCGGAAGAAAATCATTAAACACAAAGTGCACGGATTTAGCCACTTAATTCTGATATAAAAGTTTTATTTTATGGAGCGAGGACTTCTTTGCGCATGGCCATGGAATCTGCACATTTTCTTTGATGACGCAAATAGCAGGAAACCACGTGACCATCAAAATAAACTTACAAAGGATGGCAATACCAGCATAAATACCAAAACATTTGATAGTTGTTATTCGAGAACTAAAATTGGCAATAAAAGCAGCTGCTGTCGTAAGGCTTGTCACAAACATTGATAACGAAGCGTGTCTTAAGGTGTCAGCGGTGATTCGTGTCAGAGGTGCGCCTGGATTATTCTGTTTTGATTGGCGCCAGACATCGGTGAAGACAAACGCATCATCTGCTCCTATTCCCACTAGAAAAATAAGAGTTGTGATGTTCAAAAATGGAAAAAATTTCAAACCGAACACGATCGTGTAGAGGAAATAAGCAATGATCAGCGCACTGACTACAGAAAGCACCAAAAGGACCGTAAGGAAGACAGACTCCGTGTAAAACCACATGATGAGTAAAATGATTAACATGGCTATAGATGGATAAATTATGTCCGCCAATAGCATGATGTTGAAAATGTCGAATTTCAAAAAGTGAATTTCTGCTGCCACTAACTCAACGTTTCCGTCAGACAAGTGTCCCTTTTTGATATGTTTCTCGTACAACTTCTTTCTGAACTCTTTATCATTTATTGCAGGGCTCAGAACTGATGTATAAATCAAATTTTCTCCTTCGGCGGCGAAAAAGTCTTTGTCTGTCAGGTAGTATAGAATATTGTGTACCGCGTTATATCTCACACACTCTAATGGAAGTCCTAGACAGATTGGATAGGCAATATTGTATTTAAAGTTCCAACAGTTTTCTTTGATCGTCGCGTTGTTGAAAAGTGGTGCACAGTGTCGTAAAATTGCTAAAACTTGTTCTACATCCATTGAAGATATATCTTGACAAGACGATCTTCCTGAGAGAGCTGCAATATAATTACCAACAGACCAACTGGGACAACACTCTCTTAACGTGAAAGTTCTGTAGTGGAGTTCCCTTTTAAAGCAGTTTGAGTAAAAACCCGTTGTCTTTCTCACGACTCTCTCTTCAATTTGGCACACAGCCCTTAAACTGGCAGAATTGAACAAATTCCCACCTGAACTTACTGAGGAAAATACCATTTTGTAATTAATGGTACTTTTCATAAAAACATTCGGACTATCACACATTGAAAGACGGTATCTATTCTTGAGGTGACGGTGGTTTTCCTCTCTCCTTTGTCTTGATTTAGTTGTGGTCAGGTGTTCATAAAGAGAAGACATGTTGATTACAGTGTTAACAGTCACATTTGGTATTGGAGTTATTCTAACGAAGCCGCTATTTGCCGCTTTGCCAAGCACAACTCCTGCTCGATATCTTTTGTTAATAAGTGTTCCACGAGGCTCGAATCCCTGCGTGACACAAAGACATTTTCAGTCACTGAATTTGTTTTTAAGTATTGACCTAAGTAGAGATGAACTGTCTTGTTTGAGAAGTAATAAAGAAAAAAAAACTGAAATAGGGCGGCAATATGGATAACTCTACCTTCACTGGAGTTGAAAACTCTGGAATATCAGGGGCATTAAACTGTGGGACAAAGGAACAAAGGCTACAAATCACAATCAACAAGGATGTCACAAAGAACACTGTATACGGGTATTCTGCAAGCACCGATGAGTACCTGAGGAGAAAGAGAAAGAAAATAATGTCTAAAGAAAACTGGTTTTAAGGTCTGAGTTTAGGAGCACATACAATGGCCGATGTAAAGCGTCCCCACCTTCTGTCTTTGAAGCCACAGTTGGACTCAATTTTCTTCAGTTGTGGCAGAAATTATGATTTCTTACCAATAGAGATCTACGCCAGGTCAGGGCGTTTCACATTCTATATGACCTTTTTAGAAGCTTGGGGTCCCTTTTGTGAGTGGGCGAATTACGTCAGCTTTAAATTGTTCGTATTGAGATGTGGGAAAGTATCTGTACCCAGTGTTACCTCGGAATGGCGCGCTGTCCTGTGCTTTGTTCACGTGGCATCATCACCTCATCGACAGCATCATTGTGACCACATTCATTTTGTTGTTCTGTACCGGCTGGAGTTTCTTCTTGGTCTTTTAGACTGATTGCCTGGTCGCAAAGCTCCCTATCATCCATAGCGGGCTATGATATACCCAGAGGTCCACGGATACGAGAAAAAGCCTGTAGAAATCACGAAAGTCCTGATTAATGGTGCATTGTTGACTTCACTTAGTAAATCTGTATTTGTTTCTAACCATATTTACTGCACTACTGACCATTTTCAAAATGCATTCAAACTTTTAATTATGCGGAGAATGATTTTCAATATTTTAAGCTTGTAAAAAGAAAAAGTTCGCATAATATTCAATTTGTTTTTTCGAGTCTTTTAAACGCTTTCTCGTCCTTTCTGATGAATGAATAATATATATTGTTTGACTTAATTTAATAGTAAATTTGTTAGCCTTCTGTAGCAGCGAAATGCCTACAATTTCCTCCAAAATGCTTTTGTTTTGATACACAACGTGATGTTATTATCTTCAAAGGGACGCTAAACACCTCAATTTGCATCAATTCAAGTCGAATTCATTCTTTACATTGTTAAAAGTAAGATTTACAGGAGTTCTGATCATCTATTGCTGTACTTTAATAAAATATTTCCCAACGCATAGGGCGTCAGCGGAAAAAATATGAATTTTAATCAAGCTTTGCTTGTTGGTTTATGCCGTGTACAAACAAAATGAGAATCTCTCTATCTATGTCCAAAAGGAAAGAGGAAATTTGGGAACTTTTATTTGCAGTTGATTCTTTACAAAAAAAATGTGGTGATTTTTGCCCATACTTTCGGAGAAGAAAATATTCTTGACTATTTTATTGCAATGGATGCCCGCCGAGACTGTGGTTTTCAGCGTGGTGTTTAGCATTTAGAGTACGAAAAAAAAAAAAAAAACATCAGACGACAAATTAAAAACATACAATAAATTTTCACCCCTTAAAAATCACAGTGACCTGTTTGGAAAAAAATTTTGCCAATTTTATGGAAACTTGGTGTCTGTTTTCGTCATTCTTTAGGCAGGGATGTAAAGAATAAGAATAGGGATTATAGCGGTTTGTAACTTTTCAATCCGGCTGCTGAGAGAAATGTTTTGCATCTTCAAGTTAAAACACAAAATTTACCTGTTATTGTGTTTATTGTCTAAACCTTTTGCTATAATTTGCTCCGTGATTCAAGTTTCTACCACGCCTGTGATATGTTATAACTACTTTATTTTTTCATTCTATGGACACGGTGGTTACAAAGTAACCGCCGGCTTAGCATAACAAAGAAATTGCTAAACCAATAAAATTTAATGATACACGGGCGCTTTTTGTTTTCGGAGCGAAAAACTAAGCAAGATACAAGGCTTAACATTTGTCGATTTTTATCCATAGGCACAAATGTTCCAGGACATAATAAAAGTCAAGCGGTTTTGAGAGGCAAGTCGTAACATTGAGAGTTTGATGAGTTATCTGATTATGAGATAACTCAACGAAAACTTCGCGCTAAGATCTTCAATAAAGTTGTGTTGTAGATGCTAAAATTTAGATAATGTGCAATTTGCTTAGTGGCTGCTATGCATAGTACATGTTTGGACACATATTTGCTTCTTTCTCCCGCCGATCCCGTTTCTTTCTCGCCTCGGCTATTTTTGGAACTCCTCTACAATTTTAATTGTAAGATAAAAGAACACAAGTCGCATTTGGTACAAATGCAATAACACTTACCGAGAAAAAGTAGAAGGAAAGTAGAGGATCCGAAAACAAGATAATCAGGAGGTTAAAATCCATTAAAGGATAAATTCGGCGCCCATTTTATCTCCTCGGGACTCTAACGAAAATCCGCCAACAAAGGTAATATTAATTTGCCGCTGTAACAACTAAACTTAACTTCCGGTTCTTCATCACTATGACAACCGACAGCACATCGCTGATATTAATTATGCCACCTGACGCAAAGCGAAAATATGATAATAAATTTTTCGATTGGGCTCACAGCCAGAAATACAAACTCCTGACTAACCAAAAATATAATTGGAAAAATTAGAAGGGGAGTTTTCATCTGTCAAGTAAGCTTTTTTATTTTAAATGTTAATTAACATTTGAAAATGAGAACGGATTCAAATTTTTCAAGGATGTTCAGCAAAACCCTCTGCGTATGTTTTATTCCTAGTTGGGTGAAACCAAGAACAGCTACCTGGTCGGTTTCAAGCGAGGTATACCTAACGATTGACTTTTGATGACACTGTCTTTCTTGTGTCAACGATAACACAACAATCACACAAGACGAACCAAAAATTTCATGTCATTCCTTCGTTTATTCCAGACGCTTACTTGGCAAAAAAGAACGCGATAGTGGCGCAGAGTTTAGGTTGAGTTCTGTCACAGCCTTCGAGGAAAGAGGACGTTCAATCGGGTACTGACCCCACGCAAAATATTTTTCACCGTTTTCGATAAGGGGGGGTGGTTTACATGCGTAAGATGTTTTAAGACGTTACATTAAATCTTTGATTTGCCAGTTGAGGAATGTATATACAAAGAAAAATTCACTTAAGATGAAAACCAAGGAGTGCATATGGAAAAAATCACCAGACAAAAGCTATTTTAAGCCCGTTTTATTTCAATCGCATGCGTGTCGTTTGAGGGATGCATACCTACCTGAAATGAATTTTATATGAGCAATGCATTAAGAATGATACATCTTGGAAAGACCTCTACAGTTCCAAAGTATTCTTTTCATGAGAGATTTTAAGTCTCGCCTTGACAAACCTATTTGGTCGAAATACGATTCTTCTCCTGGTTTTCAACAATAATTGTTTTAATTTATCTTCCATTTCAGTGTAATGAATGTAACGTTTCGGTTTCACTTTTTAAGGAGGAAAAGAATCAGTAAATCCGTGCAGTTATCAAGTTTACTGCCTAACCGCCTCCCGGTTAGCTCAATTGGTTAAGCGCAGGACTGTTGTGCGGGAGGTCGAGGGTTCGAGCCCCGGCCGGACCAACACTCAGGGTCTTAAAATAATTGAGAAGAATATGTTACCTTTCTATAACATCGATCAAGAAATGGTTAGATATTCTAGTCTTCTCGGATAGGGACGAATAAATGGAGGTCCCCGTCTCCTGCATCTATTAATTAGATAATTTGGTTAGGTAGGGGACGTTAAACTGAGAACCCACTTCACGAGATTATTGTAATGTGGTCTGGCCTATTTACTGGGAATTGGGGGGAAGGGGCATCTGTTATATTCGCCTTTAATTGATTGTAAACTGCATAGCAGTCTGGTAAAGTCATCCGCACAGTGTTGTAAAGCGCCATGAATTTAAGATATGAGCGCTATATAAATAAAAGTTATTATTATTATTTTTATTGCATTATGAAAGTTCTGAAGTTAGAATCCTAATACTGCTGAATGAAATTTATATATAAGTCTAAACCTTATAAAAGTTTACTACTGTTGATAGAGTTCGAAGTTTTAATTTGTTAATGTAATTATGGGGCTGTGACGGTAGACTGCTCTTCCAAAGCATTATTGTGGCTGGATCTCATCTCGCATGGCGGGTATGATTCCCTTATTGAAGGCCACATGCAACAGCTCATCGACATCTTTAATGTTGGGATATTCACGCATCGCCCACTTGAGGTAAACCAGGAATTAAATCCAGTCGATGTAACCGTCATTATCCATGTTGATGGCTTGTAAGGCCTTCTGTGTGAAAGCGCACATGAAGCAACCAAAGTAAGAAGCCATGAAGCCGTTGTAGAAGGAGCGGAACATCAGCTGGTCGACGGCCTGTTCATCTTCCCTAATATCCCATTCGCTCCACATACAACGAACATCTTTGATGAGTGATTGTGCGTGTCACTTCCGCTCGTTGAATCACTCGAACCATGTTGCCCGTGAGTTTTCCTCCTGAACGATCCAACAACAAAGCTATACCTGTCTCGCTCATGTACTCTTCCTTCCCATTTCCAGTCAGGTCTTCAAGCATTTTTTCTTTCATAGCTCTAGCCATTTACATCGTAAACTGCGGATCTTTACCAAACAGATTTATCAGGCAGTCCCAGTCTTGCAGGCGTTCTCTTTCTAATTCCTTTTTCATCTGGCAAAATTATCGCCCTTATTGTTATCTCATTCTTGTAATAAATATAACGACCAGCGTTTGGTTGGAAGCGAGTCAATCCAAGAGGTGGTACGTTTTGTTTGGGATTTTCACTGAGATCCAGAAGATAGATCTTAAAAATTGGAATACCTAGATAATGCTAACGTTAGATATAAAATTATATTGATCAATTCGTACGAGTGTCTCGCTTTGAAAACGGAAGATGAAGAATTTGTGGACCTGACAAGTGTGTCCTGTTTTTCGTTTAGCGTGTTGTAGAGTATTTTAGAGGATTGCTATTTCGAGTATTTTTAGGTTTACCTTTTGTTTTATCGAGTCTCGCCTTTTTACGCCTTCGTGTTGTTTTGATAAATTTATTTTGATCACTTTTTTAGTGTGTGCTTGAACTTGGCTCAGTTCTTACCGTGCTATACATTTTAATCACTTGTTATGGTAGAGGATAACTAGTTTGCTAGGTGGTCATGTTTGGGTTGGTAAAACTTACCTTGAGTTTTACCCACACTGAGATCCTGTTTTGTGCGCGTGATTTTCGTATGCAGCTCGATCATTGTCGTTTAATTGGTTCTTTGGTGCTCGCCAAGTGCTTCGGAGCGAGCCACCCAATTTCCCCCTTTGCAAAACAACGAATACACTGCGGAAACTCTCACGGTCAGCTAACCCAAACAAGTCTACGATTTTCCTACTTAAAGCGTTGCTTCCTCACGCTAGAACATGGTGATGATTATTATTAGATACATAGAGCGTTGCTGTAGTAGCTCTCCAGAAGGGAATAAAGGAGAAAATTACACAGTCTTGATACCTTTCGTTAATTCGTCCAAGCGAGTGGTAAAAACCCCCCTTTGGTGGAGGACCCGGGCGTATTGGCCATCAAGATTTAGATATTTTTCTTACTTTTGGCCGGATACATATTATAACTAAATTTCTATCGGGAATGTCTCAAACATTATGTTGTTTATGACCCCGTCATAGTGAACAGAAAAACTTCTCAATTTGATTGATTCTGCAAAGTATCTGCCTAGAAAAAACATTTTCAGTAGATCCGTAGGAAAGAATAGCAAAAAGAGTCTGTCTAAAGTACATGTAACAACACGATGATCGCAATGATTGGCTGCAAGCCAACAAAATGATTCTCATGATTCTCTTGTAAGCTGAACTAAATTTGAAAATCACGTGAACTAATACTTTTATTCAAAAAGTCATCTTAAAAATGCAGTACTATAGATAAATTTGGATAAACTAGTAACTTTAAAGTAAACAATGGGCGAATATCTGTACAGACACTTTATAATCTACCTTTAGTTTTACCGTGCAGTATTCCTTTTACGTGACATTCAAAAGATGAAATGATTCGGTTAGATTAGGGCTAAACTATAAAAAATAGCTTCTATCATGGTTTTTTTTTTCTCTAGAAATAGAAATGATTAACATGTTTGAAATTAGGTTAAGCTAACAATTTATTTGTTTGGTGTCAAATATTTTGAGCAGTCGTTCTTTTGTTGTTGACCGCCCTCTTTGTTAAACTCTTTTTTAAGTTTCTCAGGCAGCTTCTCTTTTTGTCTCATAGAACAGTTTTTTCATGATATCATTGTTGTGAAGATCTGTGTTGCTGTTACTTACGCTCGAAAAAAAAAGGCTGAGTCGATATGTCAAAATCCATATTCTTAATCTTGTTTTGGAAATATCTCCGTACAAACCCCTTTTTACTGTAAAACAAAGCTGCTGTACCAAAGTTCACCATTGTTTTCTTTATTCAAGAACTGTATGCGCAATAAGGCATGGTGCTGCACGGCTCGTAAATCTTGCCTAAGTTTTCTCTTGCAACGTTACTAAATGTTCTTATGTTGGTAAACTAAGAACACTACGTTAAACTGTGACCAGCTTCACGTGTGACAAGTGCCTTGCATACTGCTTAGATCGGCGATTGCTAAAGCTTCCCCTTGATAAGAAGAATTAGTAAGATAAAATAAACTTTTCAATGTCGCCTGTGATAAGGTGTCATTGATTTTATCAAGAATTTCAAATATGGGATTGAATTTGATCTTGTCGGGCAGATAGACACATTTGCTTAGAAAGAATGAACTCGAGTGTTACTCACGCATTTCTTTGACTAAAGATCCATCTTGAACAGGTACCTGGAGAGTTTGGATCAGAGAGAATGTCTAACTAACAGTCTGTCGGTTATTAATTCAAAGTAATGAGACTAATTGTCTATTTCTGAAAGGATGTTTTTTTTAATACAAATCCTGGAGAATACTTGAAGTGAACGAAAATAAATCTTCACACAGCCCCTTACTATTGTAAAACAAAGTCGCAGTACCAAAGGCAATCTATCGTTTTCAACATTGGGATATTCACGCATCGCCCACTTGAGGTAAACCAGGAATTCATTCCAGTCGATGTACCCGTCATTATCCATGTTGATAGCTTGTAAGGCCTTTCGTGTGTCAGTGCACTTGAAGCAGCCAGAGTAGGGATACATGAAGCCGTTGTAGAAGGAGTCGAAGTTAAGCTGGTCGTCATTCAGTTTATCTTCTTCTATATCCCACTCGTTCCGCATACCGCGAACCTCTTCAATGAGATGTTGGGCGTGCACACTCTTCACTTCGGCTCTTTCGATGACTTCTGACATCTTGGTCGTGAATTTTCCTCCTGAACGATGAAACAACATAGCGATGCCAGCTGCACTCATGTATTCCTCCTTCGTGTTGCCTTTCAGGTCTGTAATCATTTGTTCCTTCATTGCAGCAGCCATTTCGTCTGTAAACTGCGGATCTTCACCAAACAAATCTTTCAGCCTTTCCAGGATCATATCTTCGGAGGCAAGTGTACTGATCCTCACCGGCGCCTCTTCTCCAAAGAACTCAGCAAGGTCAAAGTCGGTTTCTCCAACGGTTCCACCAGCTATGCTTCCAAAGTCAAATGCTAAGTCCAGTGCCCTGTTGTCATAGATGACTTGCTTGGGATGGGCTGGAAGGCCAGTGGTGATCTCAGTCACATTAGATGCAGCATCCCTTGGCTTGTTGCAATTGTAGCGTTTCAGGACCTTTTCGTTTCCCATTAGGACGAGGTTCATCAGCGTGACTGTAGAACATGCGTGGCCAAGAGCAGCTCCTTCCTCACAGAGGCTTGCCCAGATACCGTTAGCCCCGTTGACAAGGCATTCAAGCTGCACCATTTCTCCAAGAGCCCACTTCTTGTGAACATGAGCCAAGAGGTGTCCAGTAGTCCAGTCATGGGAATCCATGATCTTACGTACACCTTATTGATGTGAGAAACACTCAAGTCAGTATGTAAAGGTTAAGTTACATCGCCATCCTCGTGATAATGCATAAGAAACAACTGGTACGCAGACCTTAACTTTTGAGACTGGAAAATCTTCAGAGAATGTTTTTGTTTTAAACCTACTATGCTCTTTAGAGAATTTAAGAAATATATCATTACCGAGGGCAATGAATAAGACAGAAAACAACAGCAAAAACAACAACACGGACAACCATAGGACTGATTAATTGGAAACATCATGTGGTGAATTGTCTTACTAATTAGTTTGTTTGATGCATAGTTTGTTTTACTGTCACTTTCGCGGATCTGAAAGAAATAAATCACCTACAGGAGTATCAACTATTTAGCTTCCAGGCTTACCAGCGGTCCAAGCTCCAACCTCCTCGGGTAAAAACTTGCCTGTTGGCTCCTCAAACATGATTCCAAAAGGACGTTCAGCTGCAGGCCTGGACGCAAGGTAGTCCACAACAGTAAACAACCGCTCCATTTCATAGACCATGGCGTCCGAAAGTCCCGCAGATTTACAATGATCTTGGCATCTGGGGACAGATATGCTCGGCTCCATTTGAATCTTTCGGTCAGCAGCTGGCACATGTCCTCCGTGGTGAACTTTTCCCAATCGATGCTCTCTGTGGCCAGATCTATCTCAATGATAGGATTGATCAATCCCCGGGCTTGTATCTTCCTTAGACCCTCTGGAATAATTTTGGTGTCAGGAACACCTTGAGAGATCGAGACGATAACCTCACTGAATGCAAATAGGTTGCTGAGTTCTTCTATGCCTTCCTTACAATCACGGACGATCTGTTCGACCCAGGTGTCGTCAACGCGTGGCATATGGGAATAGGCTGCCACAATTTTGCACTGGAATCCACACTTTCTGACCTCATCGTAAATCTTGCGTTTGTTTTCTAGTGCGTGCCCACGGAGCTGACCCACAGTGCTCTCACGAAGTGAATTGTCCAGCACAATGAGATCCAGATCTTTCAGTCTAACTCGTTTCTTTTTCTCCTGTGCAATGTTATCATTAACTTCCTTTATGAGCTCTTAAAATAGCATGTTACGGCTGATCTAAATCTTATTAAAGAAAAAGATAAAAAATATGATATATACTCATGATTAATCACTCAGCTTTTTTAATATTCTTCTAGACACAATGATAGCTGACCGGTATGAAGGTGCGAGAGGACATTTTGTGAACTACGAAGAGGCGAATCCCTTGCCTAATTGGTGAAAACATACATCGAACTACCTAACAAGAATTTCATGTTTAAACTGTTGCGACTGGCAGGTGTAAGACCTGAACTCATATTCGATTATTTTGTTAACGTTGGTGACATCTTTACCTTTGCTTTATTTCTTTATGATAATGTTAGTTGATTAATCACGAACGTTTTTTAGATGTTTATTCCTAAATTTGACCATGCAGTCATTGGAATTTGTGCGATAAAAGTGTGCAGTCAGTCAACCACATTACCTCTTCCGTTCCACTTCAACCAAAACTGTATTTTAAGGGTCAAGCTATTTGCTGGCGAGCCCTAGCGAGGAAGTGGCCTATTCTTTAAAATAGCAAGAAAAAGCCAAAATTTGTAGGGTGTAATATCGGAGACATGCGCAGTCGATTGCGTTTTTATCTCAGAGATGCTTGTGATGACATCACGTAAAACGCAGGTGGAAATACCGATCGATTTCAAGCAATAGCTGATTTCCGCTAGAAATCAAGGACACAATAAAGGAGATCAGTTTTTAATATAGATGTCTTGAATTGCTTGTGGAAGTATTTATCAAATTCATGAACGGTTTAGTGACGACTCTCGAAGAAGACAAGAGACTTTTTGTGTTTGGCTGCTATTTGAGCAATTTTTGCCGATTCGCGAATGAAGGTGCCAAGATATCGATCAAGTCCTACTTCATGGAGATCATTTTTTTCTCAGTGCATTCAGCAGCAGTGAAGTGTTAGGCAAAAATGCCTCCATTCGGAGTTAACTGCCGACTGCAGCTTGCAGGTCCCAGGAGAAAAGAGAGGAAGGTGTGAAGCCAACCTGCTTTATGTCGAAAGCGACTTCGGTGCTACAGGCAAATCATTCACAGTATTCTTCGCCCGTTAAAGCGTAAATTTGATCGTTGAGTCAAAATCTCTGCCCGTTAAGGTAAATAATTCGACCATCGAGTTGCATTTGCCCGTTGAGGCGAAAGAAAAGCTTGCAATCAGAGATTCAAAATGTGGATCGCTCGTTGAAGCTAACCATTCAACAAACTGTGGAACGCCCATTGAAGCTAACCATTCACATGAGAAGACACACAAGGCTTGCACTGTAAGTATCCCAGAGAGCTTCATACAATTCCTTATAATTTTATTATAAGGAATTGCAGGGAGCTTTTAAGCGTTAGTCGTGGCGCGGCGGGTGTTTTCACGTATGATCCTTACAGTGCAAGCCCCATGTGTCTTCTTCATGCCGTAAACTCAAATGACTGTTTGGGCTTTGAGACAAATTCTGAGTCGATTTCATCCGTGGAGAGCATCCATTCGACCGTCGGGTCCAAATTGTTTATCAACCTTAGAGTCAAAAGAAAACTTTTCGATCACAACATTAAGTTGTCGTTTGCTGTTGTTGTTTCACAAAAGCCCTTTAAAACTAAACTAGTTGGAAAAATCGTAATTTTCTTTTAAAAAACCACACCAACCCCTATTATACCGTTTATTTCAAATCATATCATTAGCATTTCCTTCAAGCTCTGACGCCAGCTCCCACTTTCTCTTTGAAACTGATAGTTAATTAGAATTCAACGTAATTTCTTATTGTTTTTCATAATAACCTTTAGCCACAGTCTGTTTAGGTACACGAAGGGACGGAAAGTTGCGCGATTTTTTCTCACAGGAAAGAAATTTTCTTTTGTTCGGCTGCCTGCTCAGTCACCCCTAAGGCATCAATTTATAGACGGATTTAATTTCATTTTTAAATTCTACAGAAGAGCTGGATGAGTATTCTTTCGTCATAAAAACCTAAGTGACTAAACAAAGAGAAATCTGTCAAAGGAACTCTCGAGTAAGTAAGACCTTATCTGAACTAAGATCAGTAAAACAACAGTTATTTTACTATATATTGCTTCTTGGTCCTAAACGAAAGGAGTAACGAGGTTTCCAAAAGCATCAAACCACACGGGATCC